CATAACTGGGGAAGAAGCATTTTTCCTTCTGTAGAACACACAGTAACTGTAAATACCAAAGTGACTTGAAACTAAAACAGCAGCAACAACAAAAACAACAGCAACAGCAACAAACAATAACAGAAACATCAATAATGACAAAAACAGCAGAAATATCAGCAACAACAGCTTCTCTTCTTTCTGATCTCTTGTTTTCTCGGTAAGTATTTTACTGCGCTCTGAACTGCATAATGTCATATGAACACGCGGGACACATTAAACTTTTTCAGTTTGTAGGAAATTTTGCATTTTGCTCGTGTGGCGGTCGTAGCCTGCACTTATCGATTTTGGACCCCCAGGGTATCTTTAACGTGCGCAATTTGCACACAGAGACGTCCGGGACTTTTCGCCTTTGTCCGAGAAGACTAGGTGTAGATCTTTCCTACCAGGAGATCAGGGGTGTGGCTGCAAGACAGCAGTAAGAAGGAGCCAAGGAGTAGCAGTAGAAAGGCTGCAGAAAGAGTCAGGAGCCCAGAGGAGGGGGCAAAGGAGGTGCAACAATAGCGACAACAATAACAACAACAGCAACAATAATAATAACAACAGTAACAAAAAATAAAAACAACCTAAAGAACAGCAACACAGAAGCACCAACACACAATCAGTTGCAGAAGCACGGAAACAAATATCATGTACTTGATAATGTGAGACATAATATAACAATAACAAGTGGGGTGTTTTTTAATTAACACATTTTATTGAAAACATTGATAATATGAGAAGAGAAAAATACCCACTGGGCTGACAGTAACAAAACAATAAAACCAGGTTTAATAAAATTCAATAACAGTTTTTTAGAGTAGTTAAAACATTTGATCTGCAAACATACAAAATATGTTGTTATTGTGAAAAAAATAATATGTCAGAAATATTATAATGTAATTTAAGAAAGCATACAAATGTATTCATATTTTTTTCTAGAGCGTTTTTGTAGGGTTTTATATTTCAAAAATATATTATTATTATTATTATTACTATTATTATTATCACTGTTTTTATTATTATTATTATTATTACTATTATTATTATCACTGTTTTTATTATTATTATTATTATTATTATTATTATTATTATTATTATTATTATTATTATTATTATTATTATTATTATTATTATTATTATTATTCTATTATTATTATTTTTTTTTTTTTTTAATTTTTTTTTTTTTTTTTTTTTAAATATTTTATATTATCGCTATTACATAAGAGCTGGTCCCTTCCACCAATAGAATCAGTAAAAGAAAAATAAATGCGACAAACCAACCCTGCACTTAGAACACCCTCCCAACCTTCCTTACCTCTTTCCAAACTCACGTACGTGTAAATGACGGGATAAATATTTCACAAACTTGATCTCCTAAACGGAAGATCAAGAACGGAATCCTGCAGAACGTTCACTTGTTTCTTTCTTCTCGTCGCTTTAAAAAAATTTAAATTTCAAAATACGTCATAACTGGGGAAGAAGCATTTTTCCTTCTGTAGAACACACAGTAACTGTAAATACCAAAGTGACTTGAAACTAAAACAGCAGCAACAACAAAAACAACAGCAACAGCAACAAACAATAACAGAAACGTCAATAATGACAAAAACAGCAGAAATATCAGCAACAACAGTTTCTCTCCTTTCTGATCTCTTGCTTTCTTGGTAAGTGTTTTACTGCGCTCTGAACTGCATAATGTCATATGAACGCGCGGGACACATTAAACTTTTTCAGTTTGTAGGAAATTTTGCATTTTGCTCGTGTGGCGGTCGTAGCCTACACTTATCGATTTTGGACCCCCAGGGTATCTTTAACGTGCGCAATTTGCACACAGAGACGTCCGGGACTTTTCGCCTTTGTCCGAGAAGACTAGGTGTAGATCTTTCCTACCAGGAGATCAGGGGTGTGGCTGCAAGACAGCAGTAAGAAGGAGCCAAGGAGTAGCAGTAGAAAGGCTGCAGAAAGAGTCAGGAGCCCAGAGGAGGGGGCAAAGGAGGTGCAACAATAGCGACAACAATAACAACAACAGCAACAATAATAATAACAACAGTAACAAAAAATAAAAACAACCTGAAGAACAGCAACACAGAAGCACCAACACACAATCAGTTGCAGAAGCACGGAAACAAATATCATGTACTTGATAATGTGAGACATAATCTAACAATAACAAGTGGGGTGTTTTTTAATTAACACATTTTATTGAAAACATTGATAATATGAGAAGAGAAAAATACCCACTGGGCTGACAGTAACAAAACAATAAAACCAGGTTTAATAAAATTCAATAACAGTTTTTTAGAGTAGTTAAAACATTTGATCTGCAAACATACAAAATATGTTGTTATTGTGAAAAAAATAATATGTCAGAAATATTATAATGTAATTTAAGAAAGCATACAAATGTATTCATATTTTTTTCTAGAGCGTTTTTGTAGGGTTTTATATTTCAAAAATATATTATTATTATTATTATTACTATTATTATTATCACTGTTTTTATTATTATTATTATTATTACTATTATTATTATCACTGTTTTTATTATTATTATTATTATTATTATTATTATTATTATTATTATTATTATTATTATTATTATTATTATTATTATTATTATTATTATTATTATTATTATTATTATTATTACATGTATTTTTTTATATATTTTTTTTTTGGGGGGGGGGGGGTTTATACAATTAATGCAAGTTGTGATTACACCAAAATCAGTATTAGATTCTAAAATATCAGTTTTGAATACATATCCTGGATTACTAGCTCAGGGCGTGATGATCAATAGTGTACAATTGACACAAGCAAAAGTTATTGTCTTCTAGTTGAGCTGGTCAGACAAATCGCTTTATGAAAGTATCAAAATGTAGTATTCTGAACGCATTTTTATTTCTGAATATAAACATATCAAGAGCATAATTTCTCACATACATTTTAAACTAAAAGAATCGCATCATGTTTTTCCTGGTTTCTTGTATTTTCCTTTTATATATACAATATTGCTTATGACCATTACAGCTACTGTTACTTTAAAACTTCTCAAACATCAGTCCCAATTACGTTTTACCACTAACTGATAATGCTCATCAATTATGTACAATTCTAAGACAACTTGCATGCAAAGAGCTGCTCTTGTCTGTTGGTTTTTTTTTGGGGGGGTAATTTTTTATTTTTAGAGAGGAAAGGGAGGGGGGGGTGGAAGTTTCTACAATTATTGCAACCTGTGATTGCATTCAAACAGTATCAGTTTCAAATACATATCCTGGATAACTGGCTCGGGGCATGACGATCAATAAAGTACAATTGACACAAAGCAATAAAGTATCAAAATGTAGTACATGTATTCTGAACACGTTTTTCCCAATTGTGAATATGAACATATAAAGAGCACACGCATTCTTTATTAAAAGTAATGAATTATGATATACCTTGTTTCTTATGTTTTCATTTCATATATATTATACAATATTGCTTATGACTGTAACACTAAAAATTCTCAAATATCAGTCCCAATTACGTTATACCACTAGCTGATAATGTTCATCAATTATGTACAATTCTAATTCGACTTACATATCCTGGATAACTAACTCAGGGCATGATGATCAATAATGTACAATTGACACAAGCAAAAGTTATTGTCTTCAAGTTGAGCTGGTCAGACAAATCGCTTTATGAAAGTATCAAATTGTAGTATCATGAACACATTTTTTTCAAGTGAATATGAACATATCAAGAGCATACTCTTAGCAAATATTCTATACTAAAATTATTGCATCATGCTGTTTCTGATTTATTATGTTTTCATTTTTGTATACAATATTGCAAACGGCCAATTAAAAAAAAGGAACACACTGTGATTGCATGATAACATGTTAAAAACCATAGAATAGTGGATTGATAAGGCACACATTCAAAACAGTATTTGATTCGTAAATGTCAATTTCAAATACATATCCTGGGCTGTTAACTCAGAGAATGATGAGCAATAATGTACAATTGACACAAGCAAAAGTTATTGTCTTCGAGAGGAGCTGGTCAGACAAATCGCTTTAGGGAAGTATCAAAATGTAGTAACCTGAACTTATTTTTCCAAATTGTGAATATGAACATATCAAGAGCACACACACTTCAAACTAAAAGAATTGCATCATGTTATTCCTGGTTTCTTATGCTTTCCTTTTATATATACAATATAACTTATGACCATTACAGCTACTGTAATAAAAGCTTCTCAAATATCAGTCTCAATTACTTTATACTACTGGCTGGGAATGTTCATCAATTATGTACAATTCTAAGACAAAGAGCTGCTCTTATCTTGTTCTTCCGCCGGTGAGGTTTAATTCAATATGAAGGGATCAAGAAGTGACTTTCTGCACAACTAATACGTATGTTATACATATAGAACAGAGTGATTTAAATTTGTATTTTCATCGGGTTTTTAAACTGTACAATAAAATATTTGGCATTTAAAAAAAGAAATGCAAAGTGCTCAAAATCACCAATGTGTTCCAACAAAAAGCTTAAAAATTTGCCTCACAGAACTCTATTCAGTTTTTCAAAAAGGAAAACATTGTAACAACGGGTCGACGGGTAAGAAATCGAAATAAGAAGGGATATTTTTGTTTGTTTTTTTCGTAAAGATGGGGGGGGGGGGCGGTGTAGAATGTTTCTGTGTTTGTTTGTTCGATTGTCTGTTTGTTTTGGGGAGGGGGTGGACTAGGGTCTTATACAATTATTACAAGTTATGACTGTATTCAAAACAGTATTTGATTCTAAGATATTTGTTTTGAATACACATCATGGATTTCTAACTCAAGGCATAATGATCATTCATTTAGAATAAATACAAAGTGCTCAAGATCATTAATGCATGATAATACTATAGTGAAATGATACACAATTATGCAGATTTCTGATACAACCTGTTTGAGAAGAATTGTCTCTATTGTTACACAGATTACTCCCGATACCGTTGAAATGTAGCAGGTTGAAAGTAGTCAGGAACTGACGAAGGTACCACGTACTGGAAACAAGCTGTAGGGTCAGGCTGGTAACAGTTTTGATGGTGTGTGCGAAACTGAGAGTGTCCCAGTGACGGGGGAGCAGGTTGCTGAACTGTGCGCTGATTTGTGTCTGTGAACACAGGCCATTGGGCTCTTTGTAGATCCAACGGAGACTGGTGATATTGTGAAGAAGAGACATCCACATATTGGGGGAACTGGGCTGTTGTTTCTCTCTGATAGGCAGAGGAATCGAAATGTGTACCTGCCGGGTGAAAGGTTGCTAGTCCATTGCTCTGGTTCATGTAGTAGTACTGTGTCGGTGTCTCACGTGGGAAATACTGAAGAGTGCGAGGGGTACACGAACTGTTGGTCATATCCTGAATGTTGATAGCTGAACTCGTTGAAGGGATGGCAGAATGATGAAGATGGTGTCTGTTCGATGGGTGAGCTTCCGAAGTACGGACTCGCTACTTCCTCGCCGGTGCTGTTGTATGTGATTGGTGCAGTGATGAGAGATTGAGCGGTGGTGTTTTGTCGGACACGAAGTTCTGTGTGACTGTTGGTGCTGAGGATTTGTAGGATCTGGGAGACTGAAGCACGCTCTGTCGGGTTTACACACAGTAGACGGTGTACACATTGCCTGTAAGAAGGCGAGATTGCTTTGTCACTGTCCAACAGCTTTAAGTAGTCCGTGTTTTTCTGCGGCTTTTTACGAAACACAAGTGCCCACAGCAGAACGCCGACACAGAAACTCTCAAGCTTGAAAGCGTCTTTCACGGGATGGCCCCTTGTGAATTCCGGTCCGTGGTAGGCTGCACAACTTCCCCATTCCTTCAAACTGTCCGTGTTTTCAGGAACTACCTGAGCGTGTCCAAAGTCACAAAGTTTTGCCACTCCATCTTTACTCACCAACACATTTTCCAGTTTTACATCCCCGTGCACGACACGTCGGCTGTGTAGATAGCTCAAGGCCTCGGCGACCTGGGTAAAGTAGCGAGTGGCTTCCTCATCCGAGATACGAGGTAATGCGTCGAACAGATCCACAGGATGAAATTCCAACACCATGACCAGTGACTCTGGGCAACTAGCCGCTCTCTCCATTGCTATGATGTTGGGATGACGGAGATCTTGAAGCATGGCCACCTCGTTGACGAAATAGAACCATTTCCTTGGTTTATCCACAGGGTCTCCATTCTCCAGAAAAATAAATTTCTTCAGAGCTTTCTTCTTCTCCGGATTGTTGACGTCTGTAGCGAGGAAGACTTGGGCAGTTGCGCCTCCCGCTAGAATGCGATCTTCTTTAAAGCCGAGCGCATCGGACACATTTACAGTGTGGGTCTCAAACACTGGACGACCGAGTCTGAAAGTAGCACTCATTCTGAAGCTGTAGGCGACGTAGAAGATATACTCCAAGTTGAAAGTTCTTGTATAACTTGGGTAAAGCACGGTATAAGTGTTCCCAAAACGTATCACTGAGTCACAGCATCTATAAGAAACGTCTGATCAAAACTTCCAGAACAAATCCAACGAGTGAAATACACAACTCTTTCACTGGGGAAATACTGAGCAAGTCACAAACGCATCAAAATTCTCCCAAAAATCGTAAATCCAATATCTGTGAACGTGGCTGTGGTCAAACAGAAAACTGTGGGACTATAAGCAACTACGTGTGGTAATGCTTTTATACCCACGCTTCTTTCGCGCCTTTTTCGTGGGGTGGAGTCAAGACTTCAGTGATCAACCAATCAGCGTTAAGATTGGTTCGCCGGTTAACCTTGCTGATTGGGTCACCATCTCTTATTTTCCCCATCAATGACAAAGAAAGTAAATGAGGTACTCCATAGCGGACACGGGTGACCGCCTAATGTTTGTCAAAGGGATTAAACAGTGAAATAATTACGTTTCTGTTCGAACTTCCTGGCAGCTATATATGCGTCTTTAAAAATGTTGTTGTTGGTTGTTTCTTTTTTTCAAGAGAATAACTTAGACTGCTATTTGCCTTTCATAGTTCCGAATTACAGCTTTGTTACATTGTTGGCCTGTGTGTGCCAAAAGTTTTCTTTACAATAAAAATATTAAGACAAGTTGGGAGAATTAAAGAAGGCAATAGGAATCCCTAGACTGTGTTTGAATGATTACATGTGTGTGTGTGTGTGTGTGTGTGTGTGTGTGTGTGTGTGTGTGTGTGTAAGTGAAAATGAGTGAGGGAATTGTGTGTAGTGTGACACTTTAGAAGGCCGAGTCAGAAAGAAATAAGTGTTAAAACAATAGTAAAATTATTTACAAAGACTTCAAAAGAGTATAAATAACATGTCTGACCCAAAAAAAAAATTGCATGAAAGAAGAAATTGTAACAAATGATTTTGCGCTTGACTAAGAAATCGTTCAACCAGCCGATAGGTGGCTGTAAGCGTGGGTTCAGTTAGGGCCTTCTTCTGATTGGTTAAACTACAAGTCACACTATTGTTAATCTGGGGCGTTGTGTGTACGGCATTGGCCCTCTCTGTGCTTTGTGTCTGAAACGCTTGTGATGACGTAATTATTTTGTCCGGACTGCTTGCGTCATAATCCTTTAACACGTACCGACGGTATTTCAGAACCGTTTGATGGTTATAATCTCGTGACGTGTCACGCACTGCCTCCTCACGCCACCCCTAACCCCACCACCCCCTGTACCCACACCCCTAACCCCACCACCCCAACTACCCCCACCCCAACATACTCACAAACCGAAATTGCGCCTTTTTGTGTTAAACAAATTCCTGTGACATTTGCTTTGTCTGTTTTATGCACACACAAAAAACCACAAATTGACGAGCATCTGATTCCACCACGTCGTGACACATATTATTATTATTGTGCAACCTACTATTTCCATATCTCCACCACAGGAGGTTACGTTTAGGTCTATAATACCTCATGGTGTCCACACTAGTCACCTTGTCGAAACAGTAACTCACAACCGCTCTGGTGATTTAAAAATACACTGCTGTAGGCCTACTGGGTACGTGCCTGTAAAAAGTGGGTTTGACATGCCCACAAAAACGTCATCGACGGCTTAGCATTAATTAACACAATGAGGGTGCACGTTCTATTCATTCGACAAAGTTTGAAGACGTCCTGTTTCGGGGCATTTACAGAAAGAAGATTAACTTCGGTATCCATACACATTTTTCAATTTGGCCAGGCTTGTTTAAAATTGAAAAATATATTAAACTCGAAAACAATAATAATATGGTTACTAAGATTACAACTTTGTTTTATGATCAGTAATACTGATGGTTCAAAATGTTTTGCAACATTGCTTTTATTCTGTTGCGGATTGGGCATATTATGTGTCCACTTAATTTTCAAAAAAAAAGGATAAACAAACACCGACTTAGGAAATATAAGAAAAACTCAAACAAAACAATCAACGTAGGTGTGGCAACAAAACTAACCACACACACACACACACACACACACACACACACACATACACACACACATACACACACACACACACACACACACACACACACACACACACATATACGTGTTTTGAGGTCATTATGTGGACATTGCCCCAAACCTACATTATGTGGACACCCCATATCATCCAAAGTTATGGGTGGAATCAATCAATATTTGCAGTGTAAGTCCACTATACAAAAACATCATTGTCCACCAAATTTCAAGAAGCTACCTAAATTTTTAGTCCAGTATGATTTTTTACTAACGTTAGTGGGACATTGCATTATGTGGACTTTACGACCTCCTGACCTTTTGCACAAAGGTACGCAAATGGTCCATTATTGAGACTTCCGGAGCATAAAAGGTTTTTAAGGGCATTGGGTGCCTATAATGTTTATTAATTCACACACGGGTTGGGGATATATAAATAGACCCACTGTCCCTGGGATCCATGGGCAACATCTTCTTTGGTGCATTTTCCTTTTCTCCATCCTTCTTTCTCCTTCCCCTTCTTCTATCATTTCTTCCACCGCTTACCCCGTGTGCAGCAAAACTAGAGGTCGTCCATCCCACAGAATGGGCGCCTCGTTGACCGTGGGGTACGACCTGTGGAAACCGGGTAACTGGCAGTTGAAGTGAGATCAGTCTGCGGACTGTCCCTCGCCAACACACCTCTTTGACCCACTTTTTCCTTTTAGATGGGAGGGTGGGACGACCTATGCCACTCAATCGATTTGGAGCTGAAGCCCCTCCAGTTTTTCCTTGGGTCAATCTTGATGGGACGATCTAGTACACTTTCGTGGAGAGTATAACTCCGGAGTAGCTCTGGCTCAGCTCTGGTCATCCGAGCAATGTTTCCTCTGTTTCACTCAGTGGTGGGAGGGGAGCCCCGGAGTTGAAAAGCATTCCAACACACATTGAATCCCCCAAAACATTCTGACCCATCCTCAGTCCCCAACGATACAAAAAAGTTTCGGCTCGTACAAGTGGGTGTAGCCACCGAGCCGAGCAGACAACCAGGAAAACCGACCTTTACGGCTGATTGTGCTCTCCCTCCTCCCAGGGAGCTTCCGGAGCAGCCGTACTTGACCTTCCGCAATTTTGATGCACAGAAGAAGATCGCAGATCTAACCCTTTTCATGACAGGAGATGCTTTAACACAGACACTGGGATACATCCCCGCCAACGTCCAAAAACTGTCTTCTGGTGCACTCCTTGTATATGAAACAGAAATAACTGGACCCCTGTATCTCACGACCTTCCATAGTATTCCTGTGAATCTTGGAGACACAAGAAGTTCAACTGCTTAAAGAGCGTCGTCCGCAGTCATGAGATGAAAGGCTGCTCTTCAGAAAAAATTGTGGCTATAATAATTGTGAGGGTGTGGTCGAAGCCCGCGAGATGAATCTTCGGCGGGGCGAGACCGCCCTTGAAAGGAACACAGTTGTTTTGAATTTCAATTCGTGCTGCCCACCAGCCACTGTTCGGGCAGCATACTTGGTCCTGGACATGCAACCCTAAGTGCAAAACCCTCTGCACTGCTTCAAGTGCCAGAAGTTTGGCCGTAGCCAGTCGTGATGCCGACACGCAGACATGTGTACTCGTCGTGGCAAGACCGGGCATCCTGAAAAGGTATGAAAGGCTAGTCCTTTCTTTCGTTCACAATTTCCATGGCCAACACTTAGTTCCAAGAACGCACCATCCAAGAGTACAAAGCCCGAAATGGCTGCTCATTTCAGAAGGCTCGAAAGACTGTCTACCCAACAGTTATGACCCCGGTCCCTGGTCGGTTAAACGCAAAGGCAGTCCAGTCCGGCCGGTCTCGTGATCAGCCAGTACTTCTACTGCCAAACTCAAAGAGCCCGTGGTCGATGGTGTGTGAGGTGCCCCCTCCCTCTCATCCAGCCCCTCCCCCTTCTTTCCAACTCCTTTCATCTGCCCTACCTACCCCTACCCCTCCACCAGATACCCCCTCCCTTAGGAGGATGACACCTCCGATCCGGGAAAGAAGGAAGCGTAACTCCCTCCCCAAGTCTCCCGGTTGGGTGCTGCCCAATCAAGGGCGGCAGCCGAGCAAACCCTCTTCTTCCTCCACAAGGAGGAGTCAGAGCTCAGAGAAGACGGGATCTCTGTGCTCCAAATCTTTAAAAAATGGTCTAATGGCGGTCCTGCAGTGGAATGTCAGAGGACTCCGACCTTCCATTCTAAAATTGCAACACATACAGGTTACACTGTGCCCACGTGTGGCCTGTGTCCAAGAGACAAAGTTCGCCCCGGCTTCAAACATTGACTTAAAAACTTCTCATCATCATATTCAGGCCGAGAACCAGACAGCTTCTGGTTGAACCACCGTCTACGATACATCGACAACAACACTCTCCACAGACAAATACATGTTTATCTTAGGACAACTAGGACAACCCTCGAGGCTATAGCTGTATGGGTCACCCTGATAAGACAAATCACGATCTGCTCCATATGTCCCGTCAAATAACCCCTCAAAATTACCCAGCTTAATGACTCAAACACCAAGTCCACAGACCCTTTATTTTAGTAGGAGATTTTAATGTACATAACCTCCTTTGGGGATTTCGGCAACAAGGAAAAAAACAATAGAAGACTTTTTTTTTCAAAACAACATCTGTCTTTTAAATGGTAAATCCTCAACTTACTGAAACAAATCCTTAACACTTCATCCATCGACCTTTCTTTCTACTCCCCTGACCTGGTCCCAGATTTTGAGTGGTTGTGCTGGATGACCGTGCGGATCATTTCCCAATATTTCTCAAGAACAATAGCCTCTAACACCTCCAACACGAACCGACCCCAGAGCGCTTTAACTTCAAAAAGCATACTGGGACGGGTTTGTTATTGGATGCTTCCATATTTTGAACCCCACTTTCAGCCTCAACTACCACTAATTTCAAGAAACGATTCCAGAAATGTGTCACAAAGACATACCACGACCATCAGAAAAAAAACCCGGAAAACTAGGTACGGTTCTCTGGGGTGTGTGGTAATGTCATAGACCCCAAAGAAAAAGAAAGCAGCAAAAATGCTCCACCCCGAAGCCTCCATATTTTTCTGCGGAGGCCACTGCTATTGACTTGGCATTAGACTCCGTAGAATATTCTCCCAAATTATCGTTTCTCATTCTGTCCGATGCCTTGTCTTGCCTCACTCCACCCACCAATCATCTTCACTTCACCTTCACCTATCCCGTAGACCGGATGTCTGTTGTGGCGCTATTGAAGATTTGGCCACCAGCTTCCTCCACTCCTTCCGCTCTTCATATTTCCTGAGCGTGTCTTTGAGGTCCAGGCCTGTCTGTTCCTTGATTTTGTCCTTCCAACTCTCCTTCGGTCTGTCTCTGCTCCTTTTCCCCTGGACGCTGCCTTGCAAGATCATCTTGGCAAGGCCGGATGAACGGGTGACGTGTCTATGCCATTGCAGTATGCATTTCCTGACCAAAGTGAGAAGGTCAGGGTATGGTCCAATTGCATTTTTGATCCGTTGTTCGACTTCATCATTTGTGATGTGATCTTTATATGAGATACTAAAGACTTTTTGGAAGTATCTCATCTCCACAGCTTTGATCCTTCTTCTTTCAAGGTCTGTATTCAAGGTCCAGGATTCACATGCATACAAAAATACTGACATGACCAGGGAACGAATGAGTCTGATCTTTGATCGGATGGTGATATTTCTGTCTTTCCAA